ACGACGATTTAATACGTGTACTGACATAAAATATTCGAGGTTCTTGTGATCCATATACACGGTGATTGGACTGGAAGCGCCCTCTAGATAATGATGCCATTCTTGAAAAGAATCCATAATTGCAAGAAGTTCTTTGTCATGGATCTCATAATTGATTTTTGCTGCTGAGAATTTTCTTGAATGAAAGGCTACTGGATGAAGTTTGTCATTTGTTCCCATTTGTGATAAAACCACACCCAAAGCAAAGTCTGATGCATCTATTTCCATAAAGAATGCTTTGGAAAAATCAACACGATACAAGATTGGTATAGAAACAAACGCTGTCTTCAAAGATTCAAAAACAACTTCTGCTTCTTGATTCCATTGGAGTTTGTCTTTACAAGTCAAACGTGTAAGTAGAGCTGCAACTCGAGAAAAGTCTTTGATGAAGATCCGATAGTAGTTGGCAAATCCCAAAAAACATTGGACATCTCTTACCGTTTTTAGAATCTTCCAATCTATAATAGTTTGAACTTTCTTAGGATCCATCATAAGTCCATCATTTGAAATGTTGTAACCTAAGAAATCGACTTGAGTAGTGTGGAATATATACTTTTCTATCTTGGCATAGAGTCCTGCATCTCTTAATTTTGTAACACACGACGAACATGAAGTTTATGTTCTTCTGGATTCTTAGAATAGATTAAGATGTCGTCTAGATAACAAACTACAAAATTGTCCAAAAACTCTCGAAAAACATCATTCATTAGATGTTCAAAAGCTCCAAGTGTATTTGTAAGTCCAAAAGGCATGACGTTGTATTCAAAATATCCATACCTAGTTCAAAATGCAGTCTTTTATTCATCTCCTTCTTTGATGCATACTAGATTGTATGCTCCCCGAAGATCTATTTTTGTATAGATCTTAGTTTGATTCAGCTGATCAAGAAGTCCAGATATTAAAGGTAGTGATACTTGTTCTTGATGGTAATCTTGTTGAGTCCTCGATAATCAATACACATCCGCAATGATCCATCTTTTTCTTCACAAATAGAATTGGAGCTCCTATCGGAGATTTAGAATGGTGTATGAAATTCTTGGCTAGATTTTCTTCAATATACTCCTTGAGTTCAGTCAACTCATTTTGTGATAAACTATAGATTGGTCCGAATGGCGGTTGTGCTCCTTCTTGAAGGTCAATTGAGCAATCATAGGAACGATGTTCCGAGAATGTATCCGTATTCTTCTTTTCGAATACATCTTGAAATTCTTGATATTGGCTTAGAATGCCACTTGAAGTCTTTTCACCAATAGGAACACGTGTGGCATAAATAATATATGGTGATTCTTTCATAGCGGCATGCAAGAAAGCTTTTGCACCTATAAATATGAGTTTAATTGAAGTGGACTTATGACTCTCTATTTAATTAACTACACTGTTAGTTATACTTTTAGAAAAAGTAAGAGTTCGGAAAATCCAATCTATTTGAGGGTTGTATTTTTCTAACCACGATAAACCTAAAATGACTGGATTAAAGGGAGATCTAATGATATTAAATACTACAAAACTATTATGACCATTAATTATTACTTCTATATGAAGGATTTTATGAGTAATATCTCCAGAAGACAATGGACGATCATCTATGACTTCTACATGAATAGGTTTAGTTTTCTTTACTAAAGATATACTATGTCTTTTAATAAATTCTTCATCTAAAAAATACGCTGAGGCTCTCGAATTTAACAAGGTAGAGACTTTGTAATGTTTAGGTCCTAAAATAATATTTAATGTAAAACAAGGAGAAGGCTCTGAGGAGAGAATAGGACCTTTAGTAGATGTTGTGCAAGGTTCCAGCCACATGGTCCCTATTGTAGCTGGACAAACTCGTTTTTTGACATATTATCTTCTTTCACAGCCATACTCCTCATTTTGTGATTGCGTCGTTTCTTTGGACGATGTTGAGCAGTGTGCTTTGGTTCTCCACAATATAAACATAATCCTTCTTGACGACGACGAGTCTTTTCTTGCTCAATAAGAGATTTGAAACGTACTGCATCAATTTGCATATCCTCTACTTCCGAATGTGTGTGTTGAAGAGGTGTTGGTGTTGCCATTGAATTATAGTAACATTGAGGTCCACTTGTACGGTTCTCAGATCGAAATTCAAAAAGGTGATTGTCGCACTTCACAGCAAAGTCAATTGCTTGACTCAATGTTTGAGGATCAGGTAAGTTGAGCATTAATTTTTTTACCTCATATTGTAATCCATAGAGAAATTGGCTAATAAGTGCAGCATCATCCCACTTGATATCAGTTGCAAGTTGTCAAAATTGTGAAGCATACAACTCTACTGATCGATTGCCTTGTCGTAAAATATGAATCTTATTGATTGTAACATGAATTGCATTATGTTTTCCATACATGGATTGAAACTCAGCTAGAAAAGCCTCTAGATTATCCAATATTGGATCTCGTCATTCAAGAAAAGATGAAAATCATGATAGTACTGAACCTGAAAGAAGCGTACCAATGAATCTAACTTGCGATCCTGGAGTTGGATAGCTTTGGGATTGAAGTTCAATCACAAGTTGTACTTGATTGATAAATCCTCGAAACTTGGATCTGGTGCCATCAAACTTCTCGGATAGGAAAATTCATGGTTCTCTAACACTGGAAGGGCGTTCCACCATAGGAGAAAGGACATGATTTGGTGCAGATGTTGAAGCAGCTCCAACCATTTCTATATCTTTACTTCCTGCCAATCTTGTTGCTCGTTGTGGTGGTAAATTGAGTTGATGCATCGCAAGCATTAATTCCCTCAATTGCTCTTGCATTTGTGCCATTGCATTTTTCATTTCAACAAGTTTTGCCATGATAACACTTAGAAAAGAGAAGATGTCTAATATCGTTGAAGACAAATAGAAGAGAGGACTTGAGAACAAAGAAAATACTAAGGACAATATCAATTTAGAAGACGGTAATCCCCAACTTCTAATATGCTTATATCTTATCAAAAAAAAGGGGTAATCCACTCTTAATCAAGATTAGACAAAGCTCTGATATTGTAGGTGTACTCTTGTCAATCTGTCAAGGACAAGAACTCGATGAAAAAACAATTTAGAGAAGTGAGCCTTCACTCAAAGAAAGGTAACAAAATATAAATAAATAAGTATGTATATTGAAAGAAAAACTAGAATAGCTATTGCCAAAAGACAAGAAAACTAGAGACCCTTCAAACTAGACTAGAAGCAAGAAAGGAGTTGATAAGAGTGAAGAAGGCTTCACTCTTGTCTCTATATATACTATCTAACTAGGGGCTACGTGGCGACGTTCTATAGGACCTTTAATATGTGTTGACTTTGTAAGACACATGCCTTGACTTACAAGACAAGTTTTTCTACGTGTGGGCCACATAGTTAGCTTGATCTTCAAGCTAACAACATGTGTGGCACATGGTCAACTTGTTGACCACGTTTCTAATCCAAAAAGTCAATTAAAGACACCTATGAAGTCAAATCAACATCTATGAAGCTTTTAAGAAGCTTCCATATTAAATACTATAGAATTAACTTACTTTTACCTATTTGTATATGTAATTACTAGCTTACATGAGTATGTCCATGACACTTACACACACACACATACACACACATATATATATAGGCAAAATTAAAGCCATCATTAATCTTTCTAACACTTTTCTTATATTTCAATCTTAATTCAAGACTCTTTAGTTTATTTGCAATTAACAATAATTATTTTAATTTCTTTCTATCTTATATCTGTTTCTTATTTATTTTTTTGTTTTGTTTTGTTTTTTTATTTTATTTTATTAAACTACAAACATATTATAATTTCAAAGTTTTTGTCTGCAATCATATCTTTGACAATTAAACTCATTAGGATCTAAAATTTTGGTAAGTTCTAAAGAATAGAAAGTAAAAATATAACTATTTACATATATAGAATTAAAATTATTTTAAATTTTTATAAACTCTTATCCAAAATTAAGCAATCTTTGGCATTCTTATAAACATTATTTATAAAAACTAGAAGAATTACCAAGAATCTACATTAATACTAAATAATAGAAAAGATGAATAATTATAATTAATACTTATTGGAATAAAAAAATTGTGCAAAGCCACTAATTTTGAAACACCAAATTAATTTATTACTATATAGTTATTAGTTTATAAGAGAAATCTAAAAAAATTATAAAAAAATTAAATTAAATAAAGAAATAGCCCAAGATTGACAATAACCCTCTAAAAATAAAAATAAAAAATGCAATGTCTCAAAATAATTTGAGTGGTTGATAATCAAGCATCATCGTGTAGACTCTAACTTGTGACCCTCATGGTTATGGAGAACCAACCTTGCCATGTGGGCATCTTCTCCTAAACGTAACCACCTCATAAAACACGAGGAAATATTAATTAATAAGAAAAAGAGGTTTGGGCATCAGAGAGTATGTTTCCAAAACAGAATTCACATCTCCGTTTCAGTTCTAAAATCTGCTGACAGTCGCCGCTAAGTGAATAGCATCGCCAGTGCTTCGGAGGAATCCACAATCTCTTGTAGGTCTTTCACCACTCCTTCCCGCTCACGGCGAAATCCTTTATTCCATCTCTGTCTTTGACTAGATCATGCGGAAGACAATAATAGAAAATAGACATGAATAGTGACAAAAGGGAGCGTGGCTACGCACGAAGTCAACAACCCGACCGCCACCACAACTTGGCCGTTTTGCAGAGAGTGGACCAGTTGCGAGGCACGAGAGAAAAGCTCCGCAAGAAGGAATGAAGGCTGGGCCCTTCTTCCATGCAGGGACAGAATTCTCAGCCTCTGGCTCGAAAGAGTTGAGTGCATTGATGATTGAACGAGTCCATCAAGGTCTAATTTATCGGAACATTCACTTAATTTACGGAACAAACCAAAAGAGGAGCTCGGCGTTTTCAGCGATTGCGCGCTTCTGCTTAGGATTTGCACAAACAACTCAAGAGCTTGCAACGACTTGTATATAATGTCAATGGGGCGGTATGTTCTGCTCAAGAGCTTTCCGGTTCCAGATTTAGTTCCTTCGAAGGTCGTTGACATCCTCTTGGAGTAGCAGCTCAGTTCTGCCTTGAGTTGCCGCAATGGGGGGCTTTCAGTTGGGGTTGCTGCTTCTGTGCTGTGTCGTGGGAGTGTCTCAAGCATGGGATCTGCCCGGGGGTGTCAAACTTAGTGCCGAGGGCTACAATGAGAACTGGTTGGGTGGACATGCGACCTGGTACGGTGACCCCTACGGCGAGGGCTCGAGTGGTAGGTTCTTCTCTTGGTCCATGCCTATTCTTCACGCTTTGACGTTAGGTATTTTGAACTCTTCAATGTGTAGCCAGACTCACGCCACGGTTGCTTGAGAACTGTCGCCAATTGTGGTCGGATTGCAGTCACTGACATCCTGCCTGATTCTTCCTTCGTGTAGGAGGAGCATGCGGCTACACCCAACTCACGGGCACACCGATTGGATCCAAAATCGCCGCTGGCAATGCACCCATTTTCCAAGAAGGTAAGGGATGCGGTCAGTGTTACGAAGTGAAGTGCAACTACCCGAGCTGCAGCCCTCAGGGAACCAGGATTGTCATTACTGACTTGTGTCCCGGAGGCCAGTATTGCAGTACTGACCAGCCCGCCTTCGACTTCAGCGGCGCAGCCATTACTGCCATGGCGCTACCGGGTCGCGACGGGGAGCTGCGCAACATTGGATTGTACGACATCCAGTACAAGCGCGTGCCATGCGAGTATCCCAACCAGAACATTGCCTTCAAAGTGGACGCAGGATCCAGCAAGTACTGGTTTTCCTTCACCGTGAAGTACTTGGGTGGGCCAGGCGACATTAACACCGTGGAAGTAAAATGTGGTAAGAACGGGTACTTCCAGTATGCTCAGCACAGCTGGGGAGCGAATTGGATGCTCATAAATTACTCAGGAGTACCGTTTCAGTTCCCTCTCACTATCAAGATCACGACGAAGCTGAACGACCACACTGTCGTCGCTGAGGATGTGATCCCAGATTGGTTTGGCCCAGGAGTTCAGTATGAGAGCAATGTACAGATTAGGTACTAGTTCAACTAGTTCACCATATCAGCGCATATCGAACCAACTGCGAAGACGCCCAGCAGGGTGAATATGCATGTATATCTTGCCCCAGCCAGAGGCGGAGTTTACGAAGAGGAAGACTCTACAACACCTGGAGAAAGGAACTCTAGCTTGTGTACTTCTCAGTTCAGTTTTGACAGGTTCTTGCCGAGTTGCCAGTGATCGAAGTCTCCTTAGTCTTGGTCGAGAGAGCAGCCGACTGCGGCGTTTACAATCGACGACGATTTGCCCGTCAGAGAAGCTCCCACATTGTCGAGACTGACCCGGAGCACAGATCCGGCTGCTGCTAGTGAGCCTGATAGTGAGTGGTTCTCAAGGATTGAATCTTGTCTGTGCGACTCAAATATCTATATATCGCTTTACGATTCTTGAATGCTTTGTTCATGCTTTGCGCAGCCATTGATTCTGCCCACTTCGCCATCCATCGTTCCATCCGAAGTTGTTCAAATATTGTTGCATTTGTTTTTGTTTTTTTTTTTTTTTTTTATTAATAAGTTTTTTTTCTTTTTTCTTTTTTCTTTTTTCAACCCTGATGTGAGCAGAACAATGATCTTTTATCGACTGTATGAAAAGAAAAAGATAGTGAAAAAACAGACACATCTACACAATATCATTACGATAAGATTTTACAGTTTCATTCTTCTCCCTTGGTATTGTGTAGAAATGGACAGTTTTACGCAGGAAATGGTGCAGTTAATACTTATGTTGAACTGTTTGTATAAACAAATACATAAAATAAAATTTAATAGAGAAAAGAAATAAACACAATAAAAATCAGGAATTTATTGTAGGATACAATTATGAATGAGTGATTTTCAGGTGAATTACAAATCTTTATTCTACATGCTAATGATTGTAAAAATAGACATAAAAAAATAATCTAGAAAAGCGTTTTAGTTTGAGATCGAATTATATAATGATTGTTTTTTTAAAACAATTATTTACAATAGTCTATGACATGAATCTCTAAATCAATATGACCTAATAATGTTAAGTAACAAACAAAGTATCACATATATACAAACTAAATACTATTCAATACTGCCTATTTTGTTAAAATAAAACAGTTAATTAAGAGCTATAAATGAGAGAAATAAATGCAAACAACATATTATAATGACTATCTTATATACTCATCCCATATAGTTTTCAGATATTTAATAGGTATCTCAATATTCTAGAATTCAAATAAGTTGCCATTGTACATCAACAACACAAATTAATAACAATGATGTCTATATAGTTTATTTAGAAGATTGAAGATTTTTTTACTTTTCGTATTTTTTTTTGAATTTATCAAAAAATGATAATATACTATTATTCTCTTATTTTCTTTCTTAGAGTTTTTTTAAATATTCTAAATAATAAACTTGCAAACCATAATTATATAAATATTGGCTACCATCAAATCATTAAGTAATCATTTATGATTATTATGAAAGGGAGGATTATCCATTTTATTTAAACACAATCCACAAATAGGTCAAATATCACTTTTAGATTAAATTCTAACATTTAGATCCTAAAAACTAATACTTGGGAGATATTGAAAACTGAATATTACATAATTGTGAAAAAATAGTAGAGAATTGGAATCTTTTTAGATGCATTCTAAAATAATGGATTATATTAGATATATAACATGGTTATATAATCTTCTCACAAAAGTTTGTTTGTTTGTTTGTTTGTTTTTTTTTGTTTTTTTTGTTTTTTTGTTTTTTTTTTTGATAGACACAATCTTAAAGAAACTTACAATTTATACACACATCATCTAAACCTTGTGGTTCTCAATAAGCCTCTATATTGCCATTTCTTAAGTTACTATATATAGAAGTAAGATTATGTCCATTCTTAATAATTTCAACATTTTTTTTTTGTCTTTTTTATCTTAATTTAAGAATTTCTAATCTCTTGTGTTTGACAATAGCTATTATAATTAATTTCTTCCATATAACTATATATCTTCTTTTATTTCTTTCTTAATTCTTAGCAACAAAAACATTTACTTTTTTTTCAAAATTTTGGCTAAATTCAAATCTTTAATAATGTAAAAAAATAATATTTATAGTATTATAACCTAATTTTTTAAATATAGATTATAAACTTCTATTATCTATCTATCTATCTATCTATCTATCTATCTATCTATCTATCTATCTATCTATCTATATATATATATATGTTTACTTTTTATTTTTATCTTTTTTATTTTTATTTTTTCTTGCATAGAAACTATTTTATGTTTATACTGATGAGAAATATATTATAAATATTGAAATTAAATTAAAATTATTTTTTTTTATCACATCAACTATATTTGCCATCCAATTTATAATAGAAATACTTTATTAGAAAGACAAAAAGATGTTAAGAATTTCTTTAAGAAATGTTTGTCTTTCAAGTATCTTATAGAAACACAATTGCATTCATCTAAAACAAAATTAACTCTTTCAAAGAATTTTGATGATATTATATTTAATTTTTGAGGATTCATTAAATTAAGTTCAACTTGCTATTAAATATGGACATGTTAATTATCCAACCTAAGCATTTAAGATTAGATTTATCAAAAACTTATTAAATAGACATATGCTTTATTAACTTTCATTACTTTTGGAATGATAAGATCTAATATTAGATGACTCAAATATTTTTAAAAAGATTGTGATTTATGTAGAGAAAGCATTATGTAATTTTTCCATCAATATACAAAATTTGAATTTTATAATTAACAATTTATGTTAAGTATGATGATATTGTACTTATTAGCTGATCATTTTTTTAATTTATAAATTAATGTAAGAAAGTGTTGTTTAATTTTCATGATTTTCAAACATTATGTTTTAAAAAGTAAGATTTGCTATAAAAAAAAAAAAAAAAAAAAAAAAACTTTTTAAAATCTATTCAGAAAATAGTACAATGGCACCTCAACATTGTTATACTTTCACAAAAAATACTTCTAGCAATCAAGGTACATACTTAAACATGGAAGATGTGCAAAATGAGGTTGTGAAAGCCTATTAATAATTAATATTATAAAATTCTAATAAATCCCATAGTGGTTTTTATTTATAGTGGTCCAAAACTATAAATTTCTATTATATTGACCAAAATATCATTCTAAATATAGTAATTTGAGGATTTTCAATCCAACTTCACATTCCATGCAACTCCAATGGGCTCAAAGTTATTAGACCCAAATAATAGACCACCTTCAAGGAAACCTTTCAAGCATCCATTTTCCAAAATTTTAAAATATTGAAATAAAAAAATAAAAAACTAAAACACGGTGATTATCAGAATTGAATTGCTTCATGGATGACGTGGCACCCTTACCACAAGCACAAATACAGTCAGCAAACAGGTCCCATGACCGCGTTGCAAGAGCAGCCCCACCCCGGACACCCCGTGGCCGCGGAACCGGCCGTTCCCGCGTTCCCAATACGGGGATCCAAAATGGGAACGATCGGAGAGCGTCACACTGTTCCCACACTTCCCCGCCACCATGCGGTCCGCCACGTCGGTCTGTAACTTCATACAGCAATCGCATCGCCCTATGAGCGAACTCCAGATTTCACTATTCTAGCCTGTGCCAAATCAGCAGCCCCTTTCCCGCGCTAGACTTGCTTTCTCTCCTCCTTAACACGGCGCTCTGCTCTGCTCTACTCCACTCCGTTGTCGTTCGAAGCAATTGTATCCGAATTGAATTGCAGAATCAGAGTATTTTTCAGCAATTACGCAGTGAACAAGCAGCAATCTGTGATCTTCTTCCTCTTATTTGCATTTCGTGGAACTGGCGTAGCACTTACGATGGCATTTAACGCAATGGTTGCAACCTCCAGCGCCTCCAGCGCCTCCGCCGTCGCTTTCGTGGTGCCCTCCTACGACCCGGAGTGTTGCAAGACTTCCACGTTTGGAGCCATGTGCTTGTCACCTGTGGCTTTGAGATCTGGAACAGTTAAGGCCAATGCCACAATTCGTGCCAGCGCTGCGGAGGTAACTCCAATCTCCTCATGCATTGCATTGCAGCTTGGTTTTGATGGTGCTCGTAGGAGTTTTTACATAGGTTGGTGATATGAGTTACGTGGAAGCGAAACAGAGTGCACCTTGTGCAATTTTGTTGGTGTATGAAGCTCTTTGGGGAGGAATGCCATTCAGATACACCGAATCATGATGTGGGTAATGTGTATTTTTTTTTATTTATTTATTTTTTTTTTGCAGGAATCTAAGGCAGTCAGGCAAGCCATGGTTGGAATTCTGGCCGCAGGTGCAATAATGGTATCTGGAGTGCCTGCGTTGCTTTGACTGGTCCTGGTGGCGATGGTGCTGCTACTACCGCCAAGGAGGCCGATGTCCTTCTCGACCGCGCAGATAATTTGACCAAGAACGATTCCCCTCAGAGATTTGGAGGCGGGTTGAAGAATGCAGGATCAACAGCCAAGCAGTACGTCTCAGAAGTTTTATTTTATTTTCATTCTCCAATGTGTGAATGATTTGAAAAGTTTTGGATATTCAAAGTTCTTTAGTCTAGATTTTGAGCTGTGCTTTCGAACGATGTGTGATTATGAGGGTGATGTTGTCCTTTGTGAACGATTCTTCAGAGCCGGTTCTGCAGCCTCATCGAACGTAGAGGACATTGCAGACGCAGCAGTGAAGAGTGCCAGGGACAACCTGAACAGGGCCAAGGCAAGCTTCGGTGACCTTATGGGGAAGGGCAATAGCAAGGTGAGGGGCAAGATTAGCGATGCCTCCACCAGCACTTCCAACCAGACCTTCCAATTAGGTGATGCGTCCATCGTCGTGAATGTCGCCAAGATGAATGCATCGACTGCTGTGGACAATGCCAAGGATGCCCTCAGCGTATTAGGCGACAAACTAACTGGGAATGACGCCAACAATGAAGCCTCCAATGTACAGAGCAAGGCCAGCAGCGCAATCAGTGGTGCCAAGAGCAACCTTCCCTCTATTCCTTTCTCTTCCCGAGAAGAAGGCCGGCCAGAAGTTTTAGATGCGTGCAGAGCTCTTAAAACATAGCAGTGTAATCTACTCAAAATGTACACATGAATTGTTGCAGGATGAAGATTATTAGCCTTTCCACCCCCGTGTAGGTAAAAGGATTTACTTCAAGTCCTCAATGTCTAAAGTATGTACAATTACGAACAGGATATGGGTATTTTTTTATTTTTTTATTTTTTAATTCTTTATCAAGCAGATTTTGTTTTGGGATGGAGCATTCTTGCGGACCCTGTGAACACAATTAGTGTCTATCCTTGAGACCGTCACCTGTAGCTACATAAGTGATATCGTTCAAACTGTCTTCCTCTGTTTGAGATTGCTTTAGAGAACGTTCTTCTCTGAAACGAGCCACTACATTTCACGACGGTCACCAGGTTGTGTCTATTTATCCAGATTTGAGAAATAGAATAACATAAAGTAAAATAAAACCTCACGCAAGTTCCATTAACCACTTCACAATTACTTGTAAAGCAAACATTAGCGTTCACAAAAATAGGAACTGTATCTATCCGCAACGCCTTCTATTCAATCAAAGCCAAGTTCTCAGTATGCAATTTGCCACAGCACCTGATCCACAATTTCTGCAGTCAAGTTTGCGAAATCGATGCTACAAATACGAATAACAATCCACTCAGAATTCTGAAGAGAGCATGAACTGATACAACAACCGCCGCTGGACAGTCTTCAGGCAGGGGAATGCACACGGTGAGAGCAGTTTACGACACACTTGCAATTAAAAAAACGAAAATAAAAAAACAGTAAAGTATAACGACCCTGGAGTTGCAGAACCATGGAGCATCATCAATGGTGATGGAGAGGCGGAGTTTCGTAATCAGTACTTGGAGGCACGTTGCAACCCGTTCACCAAACCAAATCGACAGCCAGCTCTTCGAGTAACGAGAGGGCCATCTACTCCTCAATCTCACTCTCTCCCTCGCAATGCACACACGATGTGACAAGCAAGGCCTCATGGAGGACTTGGAAAGACTCCACTACTCCACAGGCACGCTCCTGCGGTGGTGAGAGAACATGAACTCTGCGGTACTCCTCAGTTTTTATAACATATCCTCCTCTTCCAGATGATGCCTGGCTCATCATCAGCTACTGAACGACGCCTTCTACGAGTCTGCACAATCAATGTACCATGACAATTGTGCACTCTTTCCGTTTTTTATTTATTTTTATTGTATTTTTTTATCTTATCTAATTGTTTTCTTACTTTTTTCTCAATGTCAATAGCGAGTCTTGTGGGTACAAAATGCACAATTGTGAGGAATTGTGGCCACTTTGAGAGCATGTAGCTACTTCGTGTATCATCCTGTGTGTACGTTGTTTTACACTTTAGGGATTTTACTGTTGGTGGTGAAGTTGAACCCAGTTATTGTGTTTGAGATTTGCTTTGATCCTCAAGTCTTCTCTTGCTGGATTTAATTAGGACGTGCATTTAATACTTTGCTGGGTTTCCTATGGATTGTCTCTGTGGTTGTGCAGTGTCATCCGTGGCACTTGTTCAAGCTAACTTTTTTCGTTCTTTTTGTTTATATATATATATATATATATATAGTTTCATCAATCACAGAGACGTTTTTATTAAGCCATTTGAGCCACATTCTTGCTCTTCATAGGATGGTCCACACACTAACAAAGTGTCAATGAATTTAACTTTGTACACATCATTAATGAAGGGATGAGCAATTGCAAGGCAATGCCAGGTGGACGTGATCTGTTCAGCATTATTCGGTATTTTTTAAGAAAACCTGTGTTGAATAATCTAGTGAGGATTTTACTGATACATGTGTAGATTGAAAAGGTCTTTGTGGAAATAAGCGGCACTCCTTTAGAAAAAAACATGGTTGTAGAAATATTTAAACAAAGAGCATAAATAGAAGTTGATCAAAAGTAAACAAAACACATAATAAAACTCAAATAAATTCTGAAGATATCTTTTTTAATATATATATATATATATATATATGTTTTTTTTTTTTTTTTTTTTTTTTTTTTTCAAGTCAAGTGAATAAACTATCTTTGTTGGTTGGAATCCAGTTTTTCTTTTTCTAATTTTGAAATCTAAAATAGGCTGTATCCAAGTGATAAAAAAGATTTCCATGTTTAATTGAAAGCAATGCATTGTTTATTTTATTCTTTTGAATGAACAAGAGTAGATATGCTAGATAATCAAATAATCTAGTAGCTTACTTGTGAGATGCAATAGTAATTTATTGGTATATGAATGAATAAGTTGTGTTGTCATTTTTTATGCTTATGAATTTTTGATTTTTTTAATAAGGAATTGAAAAAATAATAATTATATCAATGAATTTTAAGAGATTTTTTTAAATAATAATAATAATAATATTAGAGGTTGTAAAAGATCACTAAAAAGAAAATAATATAATTTTTTAAATCTAAGTTTTTTTAAATTAAAAACATTATATATTATCAATAAAAGCCTACTAGATTATTTGGTTATCAATGCACTTATAAAAAAGATGACAAGCACAATGGATGCAACATGAGGATTAAATCAAGTCCAAATACTTTGTTGTAGCAACAAGTTTGAGAGGGTATGTAGAAATTCACCCAATTAAAGTTATGCTTAGTAAAAAACTCTTAATGGACATAATTTGTAGCTGCATATGATTTCTTTTGAATAAGAAGGCTATAAAGATACAAGTAGATGATATCAAAGTATAAAAAGAGATGGAATTCTCGTCAAAAAGCATGACCATAGTATATTTAAAAAAAAAAGAAGATAAATTCACAAAACCATACAAGAGAGACTAAGCTTAGTTAAAATAAAAACTAACAAGGATTATTAAATTAGAAGGAACTTAGAATATAAATTCTTTAAAATTATTAATAAAGATGAGACATTCATATAAAAATTATTCATATAGATGCATCCTTTTTCTAAGTGGAATACTTATATCTTATAATTATGAATTCCAAGGTTTAACCCAAGTACATCAATTGGCATGGAATACTAATATAAATCACATTCAAAGAATTTCTCAATGAATTCTTGAGTAGTCCACATGATATTCCAAAATGTTTAGGTCTTATATTAGATAGAGATTGTTAAAACAATAAGAATGCCAATCAAATTTTTTGTATAGCAATCACGGTTGATACAACTTATAATCTATTGATCATGATTAATGTGTTTTAAATACAAATTGATTATAATAATTTATCCATTTGTTGTCACTATTGTCTAGCCACAATATACCTTGTTTAAGAATACTTAGCTCTATTAGGACATTAGAGGTTGAAAACAAAGGCACTAGTGAGTATATAACTTACATCAAAAGCTCAAATCTTGTCAAATAATGTTAGTATAGCAAACTCTCAAGAAAGAATACAAGCAAAAGGTAAAACCATTTGCTCTCTTGCTGTCCCTCTATTTTATTAAGCACCAAATATGTATGACTATATCATAAGGTCATCAATTAGATCAAAGAAGTAGGTAACTAAAAGAAGATGGAATGCAATGAGATATAAAAAATATAATGACCAAATTGATACTATGTATGGCACATGAATCTCAAAGAAAGAGAATCCTCAATATACTCTTGTATCATTGAAGAGAAATAGAAAGTCATCTAAAAGGTGATATAATATTAAACTAGAATGGCTATTGCCAAAAAACAAGAAGACTAGAAAGTCTTGAAACAAGACTAAGGACTAGAAAGGCATTGACAAGCGTGAAGAAGGCTTTATTCTTGCTTCCATATATACTCTTAACTAGGAGCTATATGGCAATGTCCTATAGGACCTCCAAAATGTGTTGACTTTACTAGCCACATGTCTTAATTTGTAAGGTAAGTTATCTATATATACGCCACATATTTAGTTTATTTTACAAGGTAATTTATTCCTTAAGCTACCAACATGTTGTTAACTTGTTGGCCAAGTTTCTATCCTACAAATACATCTAAAATCAAAATCACATCTATGAAGCTTGTAAAAAGCTTGTTTGGAAGACTTTATGAAATTAATCCATATTTATCTACTTCTACCTAATCATATAAGTAATTATTGAAGAAAATGTATATGTCCGTTGTCGTGTTGTGGTTCGGCTATTATATGAAAATAATGTGTTTATATATTTAATACACAATATACTAGATAACATGGTGAAAGCCATGTTAGTGGATTTTTTTTGATTATAGGATGTGGATAGATTACTAGCTCAAAAAGAGGTTGTTTGAAAGGACTTCTATTAGAATTTATTTAATTTTATTTTCTTTTGATAGTGACTTTAAAGTTGATCTTATTAGTAGTAACTTTTAAATATTTAGAGTCACCTTTGTTAGATATTGGTGATCCTTAAAATCTTATTTTATCTCTTTTAAATGGTATTTAGGATTTATATTGTATAAATATTGTAAAGAAAAGATTTGGAGAGGAATTTTGATAGCAAAAAAAATATTAAGGGCATCCATATAGATGACTGGAGATAGATGATGAAAATCTCCATTCCTATTGATCAAAAATCATGACCAATGGACTTTAAGGAGGCTGCTTGAGGCCATATTAGGAATTAAGGTTACACTTTCTGACCATTCGAGCTTTTGGAGGCTAAGATCAATAAGCTCAAGATTTTGGCTTTGATTTTGGTTCAAATTTTGAGTCAATTAGATTTTTTTGAAGGAGATATAAGCACTCAAAGTCGAGGTATTGATTTTGTACCTACTGTCATTCTTTTGGATATAACACATGTGTACGGAAAACAATAGAAGATTAGCAACTGAGGTTGAAGAGAGCACTTTTTTGGCTACAATTTTGGTATATTTTTTGATGGATTTTAAGTTGAAATTAAGGAGTTATTGGAGGTTGAAATCAGCACTTGCAAATCTAAGGGTAGTAAGTGACCTGATTCACTAGTGGTTGTGTTTTGAACTATATCTTGAGCAATTTGACGAGATTTTGGCTCAAAATTTCTAAGAATATGTGCAATCATGTTAATAAACTTTATGTACAAATTTTGTAGCATTTGAATTTTGGATTTATGAAATATGAAGAAAAAAATACTTAGGTGCTTATAAATTAGGGTTTGAAGCACCTGCTAGGGTTTTTAAGATGTTATATCATGGGTAGAAAATTTACAACTAAATTTTATTTTTAGTAATAATTAAGAATAAATTCTATACTATTTATAAATTTGACAAAAAATAACATTTAGATTGAGAGATATGAATTTCTAA